CGACGGCACCGACCTATCGGATCATCGAGTACAACGAAGAAGCGAACGACGAAGCGCGCTTGCTGGAATTAGAGTTGTCACAAGAAAGGCGCGAGTTGGCAGCCATCAGGCTGGCCGCAATGAAAGAGCAGGTAGCAAAGTACCATAACGCGAAACTGGTTCCACATAAATTGAGCCTTGGTGACCAAGTGCTACGGCGGAACTTCCGCCCTGACCCCAGGCACGGGAAGCTTGCCTCAGTATGGGAGGGTCCGTACCTAATCCGCGAAGTGGTCGGCGCCAGCACATTCAAACTCAGCGAGTTGGGGGCAACAAGATTCCAAGAACATGGAATGCGCAAATCTAAGGAAGTACCACCCAGCAAATTAGCGTGTATCTCATTAGCAATAGCGCATTAGCGCAAAGAAATAAAGGGACATGGTTCGTCAGAACAAAAAATAGCAATAGTCCAGCACTATCTGCGCTCACTCAGTTCCACGGAACAAAAAAATTAGAATAGTCCAGCACTATTCGCGCCCATTCAGTTCGAAAGAACAAAAGTTAGCAATAGTTCAGCACTATTCGCGCCCATTCAGTTCGAAAGAACAAAAAATTAGAATAGTCCAGCACTATTCGCGCCCATGCAGTTTGAAAGAACAAAAATTAGCAATAGTCCAGCACTATTCGCGCCCATTCCAGTTCGAAAGAACAAAAATTAGAAATAGTCCAGCACTATTCGCGCCCATTCAGCTCCGCGGAACAACAGTTAGCAATGGTCCAGCACTATTTGCGCCCAGGCAGTTCGCTAAAACCAAAATATATATAGCAATAGTAAAAGAGCGAGAGCGAAAGACAAACGGGAAGGTGAATTTGGATTACTCGATTCGGGAGAATGAAGAAAAGCGACTTCTACACGCATAGCGCCATCAAAAACAAAACAAACAAACAGAAAATGACAATCGATAATGCGCCCCTACACTTGGCCCTCCTTCATCAGTCTGAGACCCGCGCTATGGCAGTCTGTTCATCCATCACCCTTGGTGCCACCGGAACCCTCCTTGCCCGCGTCTTCCTCATCCGCGCTCTCTTCCTCCTCTTCCCTCATCATCCTCCGGCTCGGACTTCGGACAAGGACTTCTTCTGACTTATCCACATTTTGACATGCTCGGACCATCGCGGCGAGTGTCCCAGCTGATACCGGGGGTTCTCAGGTCGGACTTTCTTCCCAACCGCGCATCACAGCCTTCGTCATGGCATCCGCCATAATCCTCCCAAAAGGCGGGGACGACTTATACTGGCGAATCGCCGCAACCTGGGCTTCACGGACGGACTCAGCCTTTGCCACATTATGGAGTTGGACCAAGTCATCCTTCTCCTTTTGAAAGCCCTCACGAGCCTCCTTCAGCTTTCCTTCATAGTCCTCCGCCAGCATCCTCTTCTCCTCAGCGAACTGGGCTTGCAGCTGCACCCTATATGGCGTCGCTGCTCCTCAGACCGGACGCGCTCCTTGGCAGCCTCCACGGCAGTCTCAAGCCTGCTCTGCCACACCCCGAGCTCAGTCAGGGCCTTGTTGGCATCGTTGGTGGCCACTTCCGCGCGTTTCTCCGCGCCGGCAAGCTTCCCTTCCAGCTGCACAATCCGAGACTCGTCCGTCTTCAGTCTCGTGCGGGTAGAAGCACGATCCTGCTGAGCGCGGAAAGTCGCCAGCAAACCCTGCACAGACAGCACTTTACAACTTAGCAAAAAAAAAAAAGAGGATTGTGCGCCAAAACGGAATATACTTACGCCCCAATGGATTTGAGCCAGATCCATAAGCGGATCCGACTTCTCGAACCGGGGGGAATGCTAAGCACAGGGCCAACCGCCCGCAGAGCAGCCTGCGCCGTTTGACTGTTACACGCCGCGCCAGTGTGCAGCCGCACGTCGCGGTAATAGTCAACACCCGGAACGCCTAACATATCGGAAATCTTCCGCTGCGCAGTGGCTCCAGAGGTGCTAGGAGTCACCAGCCTTTCCGGGTGGGGGGAGTTACCCACCCGTGCCTCGGGATCGACAATGACCAGAGGCTTGCTGGCGTGCCTCCTGCACGCGTGCCTCCTGCACGGGAACCTCTCGTTCCTAGCGGCTCCACAACCCGCGCAGTCTTCTTCGGGTTCCCATCACCCTGCTCCCTCTCTGACGCCGACTCCTTCCTCTTCCCGCCACCCACGGGGGCACTGATGGGCTGCCCCCGATCCCGCCTCTTTGTGCTGGTAGCCGGCGCGTTGCTACTCTGCGCTCCCTCCTTCTGCTTCTTCTTCCCCTTACGCGAGGCGCGGGGCGCCCTCGCAACGTTATCCACCGACATCATGCTCGCGAGGTCGGCGAAATCGACACCTGCACCAAAATATCGTAAGAAACCGGTTAAATATGACAGAATACAAAGGGAAAGGAAAATAACTAACCATCAGCAAAAAGCTCTTGCAAGACGGCCTCGCGAACTCCGCGCGTGTAAAGATTTATCTTCTGATTCAAACACGCTTGATACTCTTTGTCAAGCCCATCATACGCGCCAACGCGGGACTCAAACTTAAGGGTACTACCCTTCTTCCACACAGTGGGCTCATCCACGTGCTCACTCGCCCACTCCCCCGGCACCGGCTTGACGTAGAAGAAGCGCTCAAACCACGTCTTCTTCAGTTTGGGAGAGCCGTACACGAACCCATCAGGCCTGTTGTCGCGCCGCTTTATGGACAAACAGTCGCTCGTCTTGGTGGGCTCCTTGATCTTGTAAAACTTGCGGAACAGCCCGTACGTGGCTGGATGTTAAGCCGTTTACAAGCGAGGCGCAAGCAGGAGACATGCATAATGATGGATGGAGAGAGGCGCCCAACCGAGCAGTTGAGCCGCCTGTATAAGGCGCACAACAATGGGTCGATGGGAAACTTGAAGCCCATCACCCAGTACTCGCTGTACACCCCAAACCACCCTGGGGGGCAATTACCCTACCGTACTCCGAATAGAGGGCACCGCGTACTCCCAGTGCGAAGGCAAACCCAATCCGCGCACGATGCCCCTCTACGTCCTCGCGCGAGTAAATTGAAACCGTGGTCGGGTCCCCGCAACAAGTTGTCGTGCGGAGCCGGCTGGTCGCCCCACATCTCCGCCCAGTCAAGGACAGTGTAGGCCGCGTCCACGTAACGAGGGCCAAGACGGCTCATCCCCTCGGTTATGCGTACCACGTTGACAGGCTCTACAATTACCGGCGCTGACTGAGTGTCAGAATCCTCGCGCTCGGCCACGTCTGCAGTACTAGCACCCTCCGCGACCCCGGACCTCCCATCGCGGTCGCGCCGGATTATCAGGACGCCCCGGGGCTGCGTGCTCGGCCCCTCGCCCCCGAAGACAACTGCATCTTCATCTGCCTCTGTCTCTCCGAGGACGAAATCAGGATCCGAGTCGACTCCGGCCGACGGCGTGGACGGAGCTCCGCCGTCACCAGACCCACCGCCATACTCGCCGCCGGAATTCGCCAATTCCAGCGACGGATCAGAAGAAATACGGGAAAGGGGGGAAACATTACCTTCTTCGTCTTGTATGATCTCAACCTCGCCGACGTTGGTGTTGGTGTTGTCCATGATAGCAATAAGCAACAGAGAAGAACAACGATTGAAGATTTAAGATTGTAAAAGAAGGAGAGGAATCTCGGCGATAAACCAGAGCACGAGAGGGAAAGAGCAGGACTCAGATGTGAAGAATGAGGCAGAATGAATCCCACCCCCCACAACGGGTTGATACTTATAGTTATTAGGGGTAAGTCGAAAGGTTAAAGTAACCTCGAAGATCGCAACCGTCAGACGTTTCGAATTTCAAAATTCGCCCGCCCAAACGGACAAACCAGGTAAGGACACGTGGACACCTATTCGAAGTAGGTACTAGCCGCCGACGGAACTAGTTCCGCACGGCGCCTGGGGGGCATAGCACACCCGCGAGGAAAAAGAAAAATCTCACAAAGATCGCGCGCACGATTCAGGGAAAGAGAAATATCTCACAAAGATCGAGCGCACGATTCGTGGAAAGAGAAAAATCTCACAGATCGTGCGCACGATTCAGAGTCCCGACCCCAAAGATCTCGCTCAAGCAGGCAACTACAACAGAACCTCTCGCGCGGCTACGGAATGGCAAGGCGCACGCGAAAAGCCCCGGGAATCGCGCCCAGGCCCGAGTCAATCAAGCGAAGACCTAAACAGAGGGCGTTCACAGAACACCCTCTGATGGGGGGCAATTGTTGGGCATGTGACTCGGACCTAGCCGCGCAAGGTAAGGCGCGCCGACATAAGGCGCGCACGAATGCCTGAGACGCGGCACAACGTGTGAGATATTAGAGGATGTGCGCGGATGGAAAGAACCAACGCGCGAAGACCCTAAACCCCTCACAAGCTGCGCGCGGGTGAGAAGCATCAAGGCGCGGAGAGACGGGCGCGTCACAAGCCACGCGCGTACTGAGAGTGCCAAGCGAGTACTAAGCCACAGGGCTACGAGGAGTCTCGCCCACAATCCCCGAGGGCCGGCCACGTTGGGATCCGAGAGATGGTCGTAGGTACACCTCTGACACGTCCTAGGTAGAGGCATGGCCTAAATCCCTGACGTGTCAGTGGTCATGTCAAGGTCATGTCAAGGTCAAAATACCATCATGTAATCCACCCACTCACCCACCACCATGTAGCCTATAAATATGGCATTTACTCCGATGGGTGAGGGGATGACATTTTTAGCATTCTATCTCTAAGAACATCAACTTCTCTCTCTAAAAGACCGATTCTCTCAACCTCCCGGTTCTTTGTTCTACGCCATACCGTGGATTTTCTGTTGTTTACTCTTCTTGACCCACTTTCTTTCCCGAACCTCCCTCCTACACTCAGTTAGGTTCAAACAAGTTAGATATTTTAGTTAATTCTTATCATCTTAAATCGCCACATATGTAAACACAATTAAATATGAGTGCTCTCGGTTCTTACGCATTGAAAACAGAAGAGAGCAAATGAAAATGGACCGACCATAGACAATATCACCACAACAAGGCCACGGATAGAAAACAACAAATGAAAGCCTTGCGTAATGTTGAAGCCTTTTCTTTTCTTTTCGCCGGACTCCTTCAGCGGCGGCCGGTTTAGTTTCTACCTTTTTCCTCTTCCCCTTTTATCCCTGAAATCGTCCCCTCCTTTTCTTCTGTTTTCCCGTTTCCCCAAATCTATCTACATTTCCGTGCCCGTTTCTTCTCCTTCTCTGCTTGATTCTGCATAGGATCTCGCAAAGCAGCGGGTACAGGAGAAACCGTTGACTTGACGCTGCCTTAAATTCCCAACTGTACCAGACAGTCCAACACAGTAAACCATGAACTCGGATCCCGACGACTACCACACATTCTCTGCCGCTCCGCCTCCTCCCGTCACCGGAATCCCCGCCGGAATCAATGGCGTCGCCATCGGCTACGTCGTGCGAGGGCCGCAGATGAGCTTCCAGGACCAAGTCCGCGAGTTCTCCAAAGGCGCGGCCGAGCTGAGCGTCCAATTCGCCAAAGGCTGCAAGGACATTGTGTTCCAGACCCTGGGCCGCGAGGATGCGTTCCTCGCCAGGAATTTCGGCAGGAATTCCTTCGCCGGGAAGCAATTTGGACGCGGCTGTGACAGGATCGGGAAGAGATTCAAGGCTTTCAATGACTATCTGCCCGAGGATAAAGATCCCGCCCACGCCTGGTCCGTCATCGGCTTCGTCTTCGTTCTTGCATTTGCAGGTACGGAGGTTTCCACTTCTTGGATGGGAGAGTTAGGCATGACGATCGATTGAACAGTAACCTTTAGGCGGATTCTTGACGATTTCTGTTTGTTCTGGACTTAAGATCAGTAGACTAGTAGAGAACCTTTTGATACTGTTTCTTGCTTTACTACTGTTCTAAACAACCTAAATCTATTCTGAATTCTGATAGTGTAGTGTGTGGGCTACTTTGTGCACAGTGTTGAGTGTAAACACCAACTACGCTACCACGTCTGCACCAGCAATGAAAAAGGTGTTCATTCATCCGCCTAGTGCTGAGCGCTTGTTGCTGCCTGACGCTAGATACATGGCGTACAGAGAGCAAGGGGTTTCAGTTGATAGAGCTAGATTCACGATGATAGCTCCTCACAGCTTTCTGTCATCTAGGCTTACAGGTCTGGTAGTCCATGGTTCAAAACGATAGGCATACATTTGGGGTTTCTACTTCTGCAAACTTGGCTGATTTCTGTTTTCTGATGAAAATGTAGGAATACCTGGAGTAAAGGCTTCACTGTTGGAAGAGTTTGGTGTTCGGTTGTTGACGTATGATCTTCCTGGGTTTGGTGAGAGTGATCCTCATCCATGCAGGACTCTGCAGTCGTCTGCATCGGATATGTTGTTCTTGGCTAATGCTTTGGGTGTTAAGGAGAAGTTCTGGGTCGTGGGGTACTCAAGTGGGAGCATGCATGCTTGGGCTGCTCTTAAGTACATTCCTGAGAAACTTGCAGGTAGCATACCTGCGCTTTCTTTCTCTCTTGGCTTCTGTTTGTACTGTACATTATCATTAGCAGCACATTTTGTTGGTTGCTTACGTGAATGTCCTCGTCCTTCGCTTAGCTTAGCTGTTTTCGAAATTGCAATGTGTAGCTGTCCCCTTTTCACGAATATACCAAGACAAGTCATGTTCAACAGTGCTTTAAGTGTTTAGAAAGAATGAAAAGAGCTGTTTGAAACAATTTTTGTCAAGAACCTTCTTCAATGGTACTTGCACCTTATGTTTCTGCAAAAGCTTCTTGACCTTTTACTTCACTGCTTTTTTGTGTGTGCTGGATCCATATTGACTACATTCAATGAAAATGATTTTAAAAAATGGAGTTTAAATGAACTATAACTGGCCTTGTATGTGGCAGCAACATATCCTTCAGAGTTAAGCATTCTCTGAGGCTTCTTATGTTACTTAAAGTTGGAGTAATGAAAACCTAAGAATTTCAGTTAGCACATTGTCATGTACGAATCCAACGAATTAAAAATCATGTGATTTGGACTTCATTTGCACCCCCTCCTTCACTAACACTTGGCTCATTCTTCTGGTCTCGTGTGCTTTGAAGCACATGAATATAGTTAACGAGATTGCGATGTATGCTCTTAAAACCAAAATTTGCTTCAGATCCCACGCTTTTTTCCTGGATTATGGCAATGAGTATTTGGAAATGTACAAGGTTTCTGCTGTAACACTAGAAGTAGTTATCTGAATCAGCCATAACCTAAATTGCAGGTGCAGCCATGTTTGCTCCAATGGTTAATCCGTACGATGCATTGATCACCAAGGTGGAGAGACGGCTAATATGGGATAAATGGAGTGGAAGAAGGAAATCTATGCTTTTCTTGGCTCGGAGGTTTCCCAGACTACTTGGCTATGTGTACCGCCGAAGCTTCCTCTCTGGGAGGCATGATAAGCTTGATGTGTGGCTCTCTCTCTCACTGGGCAATAGGGTGGGTAATTTTATGGACTATGAGGATATATATGGCTATAATCACAGTAATTGATTTGCATAACTGCTAGGACATGTGTGTTACTCATTTGATATTACCAGTTATAGATGGTCATGATGTGAAATGATAGTGGCTGAGAGTTAAGGGACGGAGACGTATTGCATTTCTATATTTCTTTTATTAATCGCCTATTTCTTGAACCAATGGTCATATTTCAGGACAAGGCTTTGGTAACGGATCCCATCTATCAAGAATTCTGGGAAAGGGATGTGGAAGAGTCGATCCGTCAGGGGAATGCTAAGCCATTCATAGAGGAGGCTGTTCTACAAGTGTCGAATTGGGGTTTTAGCCTTGCAGACATCAAACTGGAGAAGAAAAAACAAGGCGGAGGCATCCTTGGTTGGGTTAAGGTCTTACTAAATGGAAATGTAGATGAATATACTGGTTTCCTTGGACCAATACACGTATGGCAGGTACGACATCTGAAACTGAGATCTTTGCTGTAGCATCAGCATAAGTTCTTAGCTCATTAAGAAGGCCTTCTTACAGAAGCAGCATAATGATGTGAAACCATTTAGTTGACCTTGTTTTGGATTGTTAACTTCTCCAAACCTTTCCATTTGATTGCACAGTTAAATTAAATAGACCATTTGATGTGAAACAGGGCATGGATGACAAGGTGGTTCCGCCAGGGATGACTGATTTCGTGCATCGAGTTCTACCGGGAGTTGCAGTGCACAAGCTACCATATGAGGGTCACTTCACATATTACTACTTCTGTGATGAATGCCACAGACAAATCTTCACCACACTCTTTGGAACTCCACAAGGCCCCTTGAACAACTTCACAACAACAGAACTACTAGCAGCAGATCAAACTCCACTCGAGACCGGCCACGTAGAGGAGGAAGGATTGGAGGCCAACCAACCTTCATTGCTTCAAGAAGATACCACAAATGAAACCGAGAATTTAGACAATCCAGCTTATTAGGTACAACGTTCATCAAGTTTTGAACTATTCTGGAGTGGTGTATATGAAATAGGCTTTGCTTCTAAAACTCCAGGAGACAAAGGGTTCCCGAAGAAGAACTATATACATAGTTACTACGTCAATAGTGGAAAAAGTTGTACTGATCTATCTTACAGTTAACTGACATGCGAATTGCAGATAATTTTCTGGTGCTTTTTTTGCTTATCCAACAGAAATATCTGTGAGTTCATCAAGAACAAGTGCAGCTTCTTTCTTGACACTAACGTAGCGAGGGCAGCACATTTATGTCTCCGGGCCGGGCCCATGCGTAATGACAATGCAAACGGAAAAAATGTCTCTCTGGCAGGCCCAATCATGTCCAAGCCCAGATACACCTCCGATAGCCCGTCTCGCGATAAGTGGATCTTATTCCCGTCGTTGGCGGTTGGCCCACTTATCTTTCTTCCGGCGAGTAAGCTAATCGGCGAGGAAGAGCCGGGCGCCGCGCTTTTTCCGCACGCACCCAAGACCCAACCAAGGGACTAGAATTAATTCTCTCTCCATTTCTCCGACTAGCGAACTCATCAGTGCAGTGGAACCATTTCCGCAGCTCCAAGTGGTCTGTTTGCTGATTTCTCTCATGTCGGTTCAAATCTTTCTGCTGTATATAGTAGTCGCAGGAGGAGCTTTATTAGTATAATGCAGAGGATCCTCTCATCTTCTCGTACTCTAGCCCTCCCTTTCTCTTCTTCTGCTTCCCCTTCCTCTTCCAGAGCCTTCTGCCGCAACTCCTTCCACTTCTTTCCCTCCTCCTGCGCAGCCCTATCTCGCTCTCTTACTCCTTCTTCTCCGCTTCACTCCATCATGCCTCAGGTAATTGCTCTGTTCTTCCTTTTCGGCTTTTTTGATCGTTGACCATGGGACTCCTTATGGCGCATTGCTTTGCGGCTTTCTGTGTTAATTTCCCACTTTCTCTGGTGTTCTGATCGGCGAACTGTTCAAGAGTTGTAATTCAATCCCGTTTCGTCTCCTTTCAAGATAATCGGAATTGCCAATGGTACAGTTTTTGCGGCTTGGGAAATTCGTTTCTGAATCTTTTCTTCTCCTGGCCGCTTGGTTCTCTGTTTCATGTATTCAATCGCTGGCGATTGGTTTCGCTTTTGTATCCTGAATGTGAGTTCATTTATGTTATGAGAGAAAGTGAGAATTGAAACGAATCGAGTATGTCGGTTTAGTAATTGGTTTCGGCTGAGTTAGGTTTACAGCGCGCTCTTTCTTACTGAGCTCTGCCATTTGCAGAGAAGAGGTGCACAGAAGGGGCAGACATGGAAACCAAAGACTCAGGGTGATAAGTCCTCATCAGCAGCTGTTGATGAAGCGGTCACCAGTGGAATCGCCGGTCTTAATATAGCTGAAACCAATGGCCAGTCTCATGCTCAATCTTCACGACTGCAGTCTAGGAATGCGCAAGTCGTTAACCAGGGTGTTGTGCCAGGGCAAAAGGCTGTGTGGAAACCCAAGGCTTATGGAACTGTCAGTGGAGTTGATGATGCGTCTGCCCAAAAGACAGTGGCTGATGGCCACAGAGTTGCTGTAGCTGAGAAGGCATCGTCTCCCAGAACTAGTGCTGCTTTAAGCCAATTGTTTAAGGCCAACGTGTTGGAAAATTTTACTGTGGACAACTCGGCTTACTCCCGCAGTCAAATCAGAGCCACTTTTTATCCGAAATTTGAGAATGAGAAATCTGATCAAGAGGTATAGATAGCGTGAATGTGCAGCCTTGCTTCTCCTTTCTGTTGGAATGCATATTATTGTAAAGTTATTGATGACAGTAAAAGTAAACATTTATTGCTTTGACCTACTTGCTCGCCGTCGATGGTTGAGTTGTTTGTTAAATCGCGTTTCTTGATCATTTCCAGATTAGGACAAGGATGATAGAGATGGTTTCCAAAGGATTGGCTAACATGGAGGTAAGTGATCTGATTTCAAGTGACTTCGGAACATCTTGGATGGCTTGGCATTACAGTTTTACTTCCTCTTTTAGCTGAACCATGGTTTCAGTCAATATAGAATTTTTATGGCTAATACTGCTGGAACATTCTTTGTTGTGAAATCATTTTGTACATGGTGCACAAAAATTCTTGCTTTTAGCCATCCATCTGCAGCATTTGTTTTTGCTGCTAATTTGATAACTGGCAATGGTTTCTCCAGCCTGATGGCCTTCCATTCCATCTCTTTCATTTGTTTGCTTAGTTTGTTAAGTAGAATAGTTATCTTTCAAAGGGTTTTGAATTATTGATTATATGCTTGGTTACTAAGTTTCAATGAACTTACATTTTCCACAGGTTACTCTCAAACATTCTGGCTCACTTTTCATGTACGCTGGCAATAAGGGGGGTGCATATGCCAAAAATAGCTTTGGGAATATGTATGTGTTCTCTCGTCCTAAAATCTTTCTTTGCTCTGTAGCCTGCCCTTTCCTGTCATGCTCTGGCTATCACCTTTCCTATTTTCTACCAACTGTTTGAATTTCTGAACCATTGGTTGATGGAGCATAGTTTATCAACTATTTTCTATCAACTTTTCACTGATGTATACCTTCACATGCTAGGACAAGTTGTGCTAACCTTGTTTGTCCTACACAGATACACTGCCGTTGGTGTCTTTGTTCTTGGACGAACATTTCAGGAAGCTTGGGGTACTGCAGCTGCTAAAAAGCAAGTCGAGTTCAATGATTTTCTTGAGGTAATGTTAGAATATGTGGTTATTGCTATAAAAATACACAGGGAATTCCTGGTTATCTTGTCACCTGTTTCCTGATCTTATAACTGTAAATTGGGAAATATTCATTAATGTTAATCTTTGCTTCCAGAGACATAATATGTGCATATCAATGGAGCTCGTAACTGCTGTTTTAGGAGATCACGGGCAGCGGCCCAATGAAGACTACGGTATTTCTTCCTTCTTCAACTAGGGAGTCCTTCAGGATATCAGATAGAATCCTTTTAGACTTGTTCATTCAATTAATCTTGAGTAAGTTGTAGTTCTTCCAGTATTTTGGTTTGACATGCTTGTTCCCTTTGCTTATAGTACCGTGTTTGCTTTGGTACAGTGGTGGTGACTGCGGTTACAGAACTGGGCAATCGGAAGCCAAAGTTCTACTCAACTCCTGAAGTCATTGCTTTCTGTAGAAAATGGCGCCTCCCAACAAATCATATCTGGTTGTTTTCAACAAGGTGAGTACATGATCATCATTGCGGATTTAGATGATGTTTCTACACCGCTATTATATTGCAAGTCATAGAAATATGCTTATATGATTATCGAGAATGTTGGACAACGTGCACCCTGCTACCCTACCATCATGTCAAGTTCACTGTCTCCAAGATCATTTATTTGGCCTGCTGCAAAAAGATTTCTAAGCCAATGACATGAGATGCACATGTTGTATGATGATCTGATATCATGTTTCTAATTACTGTTTTTGCAATGAAGGAAATCTGCAACGTCTTTCTTCGCCGCCTTCGATGCACTTTGTGAAGAAGGAACAGCAACTACTGTATGCAGGGCCCTTGATGAAGTTGCTGATATATCTGTGCCAGGTTATTATCTACATTAACTCACTTCGCCTTCCCTAGGTTTGCTGTTACTGTGCGGTCTGCAAGGAAGCAGTTGTGCATGAATAGGCCACAACCATTTTGCAGACTGCAGACTTCAGGGAAGCAGGGTTATTCAATATAGCCCATCATCCGTCATCTATGGGAAAATGAAGCTTTTTTTTTTTTGTTAGCAGAAAGGATTAGTACTGTGCTTTATATCATCCTGAAGTGTTCCACATGCTTAGTGAATTATCTGATCCCATGGCTATGAGCATCACTAATATTGCTATAGCTGTATATCATTTTGATCGTGATACTTTTCTTTTCTGTTTTTTTTTCCCACTTTCCTGAGATTCTCGTTCTTGGTTATACTGATTCAGGTTCACAAGACCACATAAAGGCACAAGGTGAAATCTTGGAGGGTCTAGTGGCTCGTATCGTACCTCATGAGAGCTCAAAGCATATAGAGGAGGTCTTGAAAGAAAATCCTCTTCCAGCAGCAGATGGAGGTTTGATTTAATTCACTCAGCATTGACATATTTCTCCAGTCAGTTTGTACTTCTGCGAAGTGGTGTTTAACCTCCTGACATGGTGGCTGTAATTCTCTAAACGGGAATCAAGTTCCTTCACTCAATGAACTTATTAAACTTATTGACTTCTTATGTGAAGAAAATTGACATCCTTAAAAAAGAGGATTTGGTTTTGCAAATGTGTGTCACTTATTCTCTTCACTCTTGTCGGCAACCCTGGTTCTTTTTGTAACTTGAAGTTGATTTCTTAAGCATGGATATTATGATATGTATAATTTGAACATAGATTTAGGTTACTTGATGTGTAGACCAAATTTCCCATGAAAGTTCTAATTACATCTTTGCGGAACAAATCCCTTTTCGTTTCCTTCTATTGTACTGGGGAAGTTTGATTTTCTGCAAGACGAAGTTGTTAGTTTATTGGACTGAAATAAAACCTGTACTGCAGCTGGCATTGATTTGGGACCAAGCCTGCGGGAAATTTGCGCTGCAAATAGATCAGATGAGCAACAGGTGAGTTCTTTTCCAGTCATAGCATTTGTTTACCTGCGAAGGAGGTAGTTACATCATTTAAGAATCAACATTTGTGTGAAATTATCACTGCAGCAAATAAAAGCACTCCTTGAAAATGTTGGCCGTTCTTTTTGCCCCGACTCGGTGGACTGGTTCGGAATTGATTCTAGGGAGACTCATTCGAGAAACGCGGACCGATCAGTGGTTACAAAGTTTCTGCAAGCTCACCCTGCTGACTATGCCACCACTAAAGTTCAGGTTAACTACAATCCCTGTTGCTAGAGTAATTCTTGCTTGGGAATTATCTGAACTTTCAGTAGTACTAGTTGCTGGATGCTGTCACTGAGTTCCTTGCCAAGTAGCTCTAACCTTTTCTTTATCTGTTTCCTGGTGCTGTTATTTCCTTTTCCCATTTTTCTGAACCAGGAAGTTATTCGTCTGCTGAGAGAAAGACGCTTACCAGCTGCGTTTAAATGTTATCACAATTTCCACAAAGTTGAGGCCATAACGAAAGACAACCTTTTCTACAGAATGGTTGTCCATGTGCATAGTGATTCAGCATTTCGCCGATATCAAAAGGAGATGAGGTATTGATACAACATTTCTAATTCTCGAGTACAAATGTTTCCTTCCCTATGTAGTTCCTAAACCTGTCAGTTCTCTTATATTTAATCTTTTTTTATAGGAACAAGCCTGGGTTATGGCCATTGTATCGAGGTAAACCTGGTTTATGCCTACTGAATTGCATGCGATCATCTTATATGTAGAAAATGGGAAATGTTTATGAGTCTGCCCAGGGAAGTAAAGATATTCTGCTTCTCAGCTTGATTCGGTAGATGAGTCTTGTTTCATGTTCGCGAGGCAACTCTGTGTTTTCTGTAAAGAGCTAAATATGATGCAAGTAATGCCTGGAATGGTTGGAAGTAAAATGAATATCTTCCAAGAGTAGGATTAGTTCTTAAAATGCTGTGATTGTCTGGGTACCATTCAATCCATCCCACTACCTGAACAATGTCCTGGACAAGGTCGGCTTATCTTTTCTTATTATGCATTTCATTCTGAGCTTCATCTCTTCATTCTAATTCAAAATGGCCAATGCAGTATGGAGCTAGTGTTTTCCTCTTTTCGATTAGAAAAATAATATGATGATCCAATTAATGTCCGGTAATGTATGTTCAGGGTTTTTCATCGACATTAATTTGTTCAAGGCGAGCACAGAGGGAGCTGCTGAAATTTTGAATAGCCAGAATAACACAGTGGGAAATGCTAACGAAAATGGAGCTGGATTATCAACAGACAGTCTTGCTGATGATGATGCAAATTTGATGATCAAACTAAAATTCCTTACATACAAGGTAGTTATCATGAAATTCGGTCTTGTTTCTGAGGTTACTGATGTTACAATGTGTGACCTTTGAGGCTCGTGCATGTGGAAAAGAAGAAAGCATAACTTGTGTTTCCTTTCTCCACCACAATGTATCTCACTTCAAAGCTCATACAGCACTTAGTGTTCTATTGCTTGAATCAAGTTTATGTTCTTTCCTGTACGCAGAGGTTATATATTACTATACCTTACTGGTTTATCCATCTGTTCTTTTGCTTATAGACAATAAGGAGTCTTACCGTGCAAAATCTCAACTGTAATTGTACAGTTCCACCCAGATCTTATGGAAACTTGTCTATGCCTCGACATGTAAATTTATATATTCTGCTTCCTGGAGCCAATGATATTTTTCTTATTTGTTTGGTCTCCTGACTTTCTAATATGAATTGGCTATTGAGATGTTAAATTCCAAGCTGATTGCTCTCTTCAGGTTCATATTCAGTAAAAATGCGTGTCAACACTGAGTTCTTATGCAGATATTAACTGTCTTTTTATTTTGTTAACCATCTCTTGCAGTTGAGAACATTTTTGATCCGTAATGGGCTGTCAATTCTTTTCAAGGATGGACCAGCTGCTTACAGGACTTACTACCTAAGGTAAGACAAGAGGTTGTATGAGAAGCTGTCCAATTGACATGTATGTGTGGACTTTCTTTTCTTATATTGTTCTCCCATTGTATGAGTCATGACTAACTTGTTTCTGTACTCTGGTTGCTATCTTGTTTACGAACTTGTGGTTTTAATTTGAGATTGCAGACAAATGAAAATATGGGGAACTTCAGCTGAAAAGCAGAGGGAACTTAGCAAGATGCTTGATGAATGGTAAAGTGAACTTTTACGAGCCTTTATTTCTACTTCTTATGTGATCGGTGCAAATTCATAACTGTTCCTTTTTGCTTTTGGTTATCGATTTTCAGGGCTTCCCATATCCGTCGGAAATGTGGAAGAAAACAGCTATCCTCATCAATATACCTTAGTGAAGCCGAGCCTTTCCTCGAACAATATGCAAAACGGAGTACTATAAACCAGACACTTATAGGATCTGCTGGGAATTTAGTAAGGGCTGAAGATTTCTTGGCTATCATAGAAGGTGGTAGGGATGAAGAAGGTGATCTCGAGAGAGAAAGAGAGGTGGAGCCTCCAACCCCGAGCTCACCAGTCAAGGAAGCTGTCCATAAGGATGACGGTTTAATTATCTTCTTTCCTGGTAATTATCATCCATTACATCTCAACTTTTGGTGAAGTTTGGTAGTGGATGTGTTTTCACGTAATACGCGCATCTGTAGAACCTGTGTAGAGACGGGTTCTTGGATGACTCTGAAATTCTTGAAAGCTTGACAGTGCCAATGTTCTTCACCTGATTGTAGATGTAGGTTTCTTCTGGGTATCTGAACTTTATTGAATGTTCATTAGTTGTCTTTTTTTCACTGAGTGGAAAGCCTGCTGATTTATATTTTCTTATTAATAGGATCTTGTCAAGAAATTGTCGGGGATATTTATGAATTTGAAACTAGTGAACTTTATATGATATACTTTATTCTTGATAGTATATGTAAGTTTGTACTACATATTTGGACTCTGATCACATTTGAAGTAATTCATTAGCTGTCTTTTGCTTGGTGAATGTAGTTGTCTCTGAACAAGGGTTCATCTTGCTTTTTGTCTTTGAAATGTATCACCAGGAATACCTGGTTGTGCTAAATCTGCACTTTGCAAGGAAATACTGAGTTCTCCAGGAGGGCTTGGTGATGATCGTCCAATTCACAGTTTGATGGGTGACCTTATCAAAGGTATGCGATTAATTTATATCGTATCTGTAGGTTTGGTCTGAGCAGCAAAAGAAGGAAACTAGTGAATCTGATTTTCTGGATTATGTATTTGAGAAGAACTAGGACTGACATTATCTGGTGAACAGCGTACCTGCTCATATTCAGGCTGAAAATGTAGTGCTGATTTATCAGATAGGATGCCTAAAATCTTGCATTTCAATTGCCTAATTTGAATAGTTTGTGTTTGGCGAGTATCACTGAATCAGCATAAAGCCTAAAATGTGTAGAAGTGTTGTGACTGGAAATTATCACAATTTTTTTTGTATAATCTGACACTGATTTGATTCCTGAAACTAATAGAGCTACAAGGATTACTGCTTGCTATTGTGATTGAAGTTTTATAAAAATTGAACATCTGTCAGTTTTCATGGTGTATATTCCTGGATTTTCGGTAATTGATAAAAGCCATCTGCAGTGTCACAATTACGCATAAGTGCATGTTTTAATATTTTGCCTTTGGTCATTGAGCTCAGTAATCTATTACATTGGCAAGGAGAGAAGTTGACATTAATTTTGTGCTGATGATGAATCATAAGCATCAAAGAACCTCAGAAATTATGCACTTTTCTTCAATGTTATATTTGAGAATAGCTACAGGCTATTGACCTTGCATATTCAGCTCATAAACTGGGTTGCTGATTCTTGAACTTTCAAAGGGAGGTACTGGCAGAAGGTTGCTGAAGATCGCAGAAAAAAACCGTACTCTATAATGCTTGCAGACAAGAATGCACCAAATGAGGAAGTCTGGAGACAGGTAAATTTGTTTAATAATTCGTTAACCAGTGATGACATCCAACTGAGTAATGAAAGAGGTCTTCCATCAGTTGGTTGCACATAAGAGACGTAGTCCTAAATTAAGTATTTCCCTTCAGCTTTTGAGGACAGTTTAACTTGGGGTATTTCATCTTCCTCTTATGCTGGTTAAGTAATTCCAGAAACGGTTACGGCCAATGTGAATACTCTCTGTTAGATCTAATTTCCAACTTGTCAGTTATGTTTGAGAGGTCGTGGTGTATGTTCCAGTGCTTAGTTGAGAAATAACTGGCTTTGGATGATTAACCAACTGCCCTTGAACCTTTTTGTCTTTCCTTTTTCAGATTGAAAACATGTGCAGGACTACCCGAGCTTCTGCAGTTCCCGTAGTACCTGATTCTGAAGGTTCTCTTTTGTCTCCATTGTGACTGTGTTGGGTTCTTGTTTGTTTTGCTGCTAACTGATTCCTGTTGTTGCTTGTGAAAAAAATTAGGAACAATTTCCAATCCATTTTCGCTTGATGCATTAGCTATTTTCATCTTCCGTGTGCTTCAAAGGGTTAATCACCCGGTACTTCATACACCCTCCATCTTCTTATTTTCTTCCATGAGTCTATGTTATAGACTTATAGTTATTAATAGTCAACCCACATCTTTGTGCACTTAATTTCTTGTGCAGGGTAACTTGGACAAATCCGCTCCAAATGCTGGCTATGTGCTACTAATGTTTTATCACCTTTACGAGGGGAAGGTAGTTTGTTGTTGAATAACACAGTCATACGCTTTTCTTTTACTTTCCTCTAAACATCTTCTACTTATTTTTCAGAGTCGGAGTGACTTTGAGGCTGAGCTGGTTGAACGTTTCGGATCCCTTGTCAAGATGCCATTGCTGAAATCAGATAGGTAAGAAATGTTGTAGGATCTCTCATATTGGTAAAAGTGAATTGTTGAATAGACATATTCTTGTATCCCTCGTAGAGTGTTCCTTCAGCGATTATATATTTATGTGATCAACAATTTTACAAGAGTTTCTCGTCATACTCATATGAGGTCTGCCTTTTATACCATTGTGGCATGAAGTTCTTTTCATATGTAACTTCCGCAATGGCTCTTCAACCACTGTCCACTGTTCTAGTGCCTTTTCTGTGGTAGTTCCAACTTCCAAGTCCACTTTCCCCAGGAGTTGCTCATTTCAATCTTAAGGCGAAGGACTATGGAGCCTTTTCTTTTTCTTTCATCAGTGGAAGTGCACAGTTTAAACATCAATCTTCACATCATGCTTTTTAAATTGCATATGTTGCTGATGATCCCATCCGGTTCGCCTTGAATCTGGCCGGGTCGGTGGTTTTTCATGTCTATGATTAGTTTTGGTTTGATGCGACATTTTGGTTGCAGGAGTCCTCTGCCAGACCCTGTGAGATTAGTTTTGGAGGAGGGGATAAGCTTATACAATCTTCACACAACTAGACATGGAAGGTAAATAGCCATTAACTGCAACTAGAAACATGAAGACATATTTTCATAGGGAAAGAAAGTTTTGCAAATTTGCCATACTTGTCTCATCCAAAACATCGTCAGAAGAACATGTTACCGACTTTCTCCCCCACGCTTCACTGGAGGAGGAACTTATCTTTCTTCATTAGTGTCTTGTGTGTGAGCATTTCCCCTTATTCTCTGTCTCGGCAGTTGTCCCCCTACGTACTTCTTTATTCTTTTGTGGTCAGGTTGGAGTCTACGAAGGGTTCATACTCGAAAGAGTGGGCCAAATGGGAGAAGCAATTACGGGAGACTTTATCTTTGAATTCAGACTACCTAACTTCTGTTCAGGTTTGTTTGCTTGTTCAGCACCGCAAGAAAGATCTTTACAATCAGGATTCTTTGGACACAAGTTATCAACAGAGTTCTGATTTCTCTCTTCTGCACAAATTCTACAGGTTCCATTCGAGGTTGCTGTCAAGCAAGTGTTGGAGCAGCTGCGGAGTATTACCAAGGGAGAGTACAAAACTCCCAGTACAGAGAAGAGAACGTTTGGGACGATTGTTTTCGCTGCTGTCACTTTACCGGTTTCAGAAATCTCCAGTTTCCTTAACGATGTAAAGCCAAGAATTCTGCTCTCTTGGCTTGTTTTTTTTTTCAACTCTCAGTTGGCCCCCTCACTAATCGTCTATCCGACATTAACATTCCAAGCAGCTAGCTCAGAAGAACCCCGAGGCTGAACAGTTTCTCAAGGACAAAGACTTGGCACAGAACCTCAAGAAGGCTCATGTGACTCTAGCTCATAAGAGAAGTCACGGGGTTACGGCTTTAGCTAAATTCGGACCATTTGTCCACCAAAGTGTCCCCGTGGAGTTCACAGCGCTTCTCTTCACGGACAAGATGGCTGCCCTGGAAGCACAACTGGGATCAGTGGACGGTGAGAAAATAGAATCGAAGAACGAATGGCCTCACGCCACTCTCTGGACAGCTCAGGGAGTTCCACCAAGGGAAGCAAACACACTTCGACAATTGGCATCTGAAGGGAAGGCAACACGAGTCGAAATAAACCCCGCAGTAACAATCTCCGGGACTGTCGACTTCTACTGAGGATAGAGCACAGCAAAAGTTTTGGTAGGCACTCAGGACTTTTGGTTTACTGAGAGGGTTGTATATAATGAGGGATCCTTTTCGTATTCATATCTTTCCCTATTCCACTAGCCACTGAGATCCACGTACTGGGAATCCATTATGATTCTGTGTCATGGTGGACAAAAATTTTCATAAACCCAGTAACAAAAAGAGGTATTAACTGGTTCAATGTTCAGTAGCCAACAATGCAAAAGGATGAAAAGACAGTATATCGTAGTAACTACGAACGAGAAACAGCCTCATCAGTGGCTCTTCTAGTCCTTTTCATTTTCCCAACTCCTGCTTATTGCTGTTGGCATATACTGGGCAGAATTGCAGTAGCCTCTCCATCGATAACAAGCAGGTCACCCTTCTTCTTGAAGCATTTCGTCGCAAATTTGGCGCTGCAACGAAAGCAAGATGGCGGATGAGTTAGTCTGTCAAATTCTCAGAGGGGTTACGCGTATGTGATTGAGAATCAGCTTCTTACATACATGTATTTGTTCTTGTGTTCCCTAACACTAGTAGCTACCACCTCGCCAATGATCTCTTCTCCTATATAAACCGGCGTCTTGAAATGCAGGCTCTGCGACGCATATATAGCTCCAGGCTGCAAATTTCTCAACAATGTTACTCTTCACGTCTATTCCCATGTAAAGAAAAATTCTGGTCATCTTCAAGCTAGACTTGCTTCCGTTCAATCGTGTAAAGGAAGATATTGAAAATGGAGGCTTACAAAATTGGACGAGATGATTCGAGGGAACAGTGCGGCGACAAGCATTCCATGAACAAGCCGGTCCTCGAATCCAGAACTTCGAGCCACTTCAGGATCAAAATGCAGCGGATTGGAATCGTGGCTCACCTCTGAGTACCGAAGGATGTCTTCACATGAGAAGACTCTGGTTTGCCTTAAAGTATCTCCGGTTCTCAGTACTCGGGAAGCTGTAGTTGAAAAGAATTTCGGAGAGAACGCCGCACTTTGCAACAGACGCTTCTTCGTTGCCGCCGCCATTGCTCGAAATGGTATCTTGGCGATAGTCAAATGAACACTGGGCGAAGAGTTAAACCCACCTGCTAACTAAAGCTTAGGAATTTTAACAAACACTTAACGAGCAATGGTTATGAATGCCGTTCCAGCCGTTATCACGGGATTTAGAGGCGAAGAGTTAAACCCACCTGCTAACTAAAGCTTAGGAATTTTAACAAACACTTAACGAGCAATGGTTATGAATGCCGTTCCAGCCGTTATCACGGGATTTAGAGGCGCATTTGTAACCGTCGGGGCTGATCGACGGAGTTTCTCGGCGAGATGATGACTCCGACGAGTCAATTAGAAGAAACAGACCGAGATGAAAACCACACCAAACCTGGCCCCGAAAATGGAAAAGGAATTTTCTTTCTCTCTCGAGGGTAAGGAAGAAGAAGCGGCAGCCCTGAACCTTTTTTTGTAGATATTACCCTTGTCCTTCTGTTATTATAGCATTTGCCACTTCCAGTACTAACTACTAACAGAACTGACTTCCCTATCCCGCCAGTGCCCCGCGATGGTTGTAAGCTAAATCTCAATCTGCTCTTTAGTCTTCTTAATCGAGCTTAGGTCATTTGATACTCTCATGGCTACCATTAAAAGCACTGTATTACTTACTCATTGCAAGTTGGTTCTATCCTTGGGTCAATGGGAGCCTTGATGGGGCAAAATCAAGCAGAGTGTATCTGCGTGGGCTGTATCGGTGTCCAATAGTTGGAAGCATAAATAAATCGAACTACAGTATTCATGCTCGTCACTGAAAACCGACTAAAGCTTTGTTTGGAAGCAGCCTGTGCCGTTCAAAGTCTGTGTGTTCGTTTGGTTAGTGTTCCACAAGAAGATTCTAACTCAAGACATGCTAAAGAAGCGAGGATGGATGCTCCCAAACCGGTGTACCCTTTGCTACGAAGAGGAAGAGAGTGCGGATCATCTTTTCTTGGGTTGCAGGTTCTCGCGTATGGTGTGGCAAGTAATGAGGCGTTTTGTGATGCTTCCTATTAATCGTGATGGGGATATATCTGTTCTAATCGGTAGGTGGCAGCAAAAGGAGCCTGGTTGTCCTCGAGAGTGGTGTTCCAGGGTGTTTGTGCACGCCCTGTGTTGGCGACTCTGGTTGGAAAGGAATGGTAGGATATTTCGAGACAAGGAGGATTCAGTGAATGTGGTCTGCCTTCGAATCGCTCGTGCTATGGCTGACTGGTTGTGTGCGAATGGGAAGGTTGACAGAGCCATTGCGGAGGATTGGATGAGGAAGGTGAAAGAGCAGCTAGTTCCTAGAGTCGTGCAGGAGCCGCCACAATGATCTTCTGGTGCCCAGTGGTGTTTCTGGTCTATCCTCTTTTGCCTTTTTGGTTTTGCTGTTTGCTGATGTGCTGATGTTCGGCTGCTGCTGCTGCTGCTGTTGTGCTGTCGATGATGCTGCTGTTGGCGTTTGGTGTTTGGTATTTGGCGTTTTTGCTGTATTTTGGGGGAGCTGTTGCATTTGCTGTTGCTGTTGCTGATGACTTGTGATGCACCAGTGGCTTTTTTGCTTCTGCTTCTTCGGCCTTGCTGTATTTTGGGGGAGCTGTTGCATTTGCTGTTGCTGTTGCTGATGACTTGTGATGCACCAGTGGCTTTTTTGCTTCTGCTTCTTCGGCCCCTTTTTGTTTTGTTTTGAGATGTATTTGCTTTCAGTGTTTTGGTGTTCTTGTTCTTGTTCTTTTTACTGTTTTTGTCTCCCTAGCGGCTGCTTTGACTGGTTCTTGTTGAGCCATTGTGGACTGTATTCATTCCCTTTTCCTTTCTCCTGGTTCTTTTAATTAATAAATAATTTCACCTTTACCAGAAAACCGACTAAAGCTTGCATCTTCTAGATGTTCGCTGCAGTACATGGCTTGTTTCTGCAAACATGGTTTGTGTGTACAAGAGATTCTGCTCATTGATACTGACAGACAGTAAAGACTATTGACGACGAAAGGAAGATAAGGCGTTTAAGTTCCTCAACAAATCTGGTACAACAATCTCTGATCTCTACTGAAACTGCCCAATTTTCTTTCAACCCAAAATACAGAATATATCCTAGGGGCGTGAATTTGGTTCACTTCACACTTTCCATCCTGAAAGCTCTCAAAGCGTCTCTGCCATTGGAGTTTCCTACGAGGAGGGCACAGGTAGAGGTACCGACCAATTCCTCACCCATTCCGATAGTGTTTCGACATTTCTGGCAACATCCTCGATCGTATTGCTCTGTAGCGCCACAACGATTTGATCTGGGTAGCTCTCTTTCGCCTCTTCCAATAGGACTCCAAAGATCTCGCACTCTATGTTGTTCGTGATCTTGGTCTGCGAATACCCTCTGACATTTCGCCGCCAACATAAACATACTATCAATTATCACCCATCAGGGAGCTAGAATTGGGCAACAAAATAGGAACAAGGGATTGTCAGTCTACCTCTTGGTCAGGCGATCAAACAAGACAGAATTCTCCACCTGAAGGACCAAAACCCGGTCGAACCAACGCTCCGGGAAGAAATCGCAGCCGTGGTAATCCACTATGTTCCCTCCTTCATCCATCACATCCTCTAATTCATCGCACACCTATTGTATATGGTAAACCCATTTGCAAACGAAGTAAAGATCAGATTTTGACGCGTGGGTAAAGTGGATGAGAGGCAGGGATATAGCAGAGCAAACTAACCAGGTCTTCATTGATAACGTGGCATTCGAATTCCTCGTCCCATCCGTCGTGCAAGTTCTTCTCCCGGACCAAGTCCCCGATGTTGATGTGCCGGAGCTGCGTCGAATCCGCCAGAGCAGTGGCCATCGTCGTCTTCCCGGTTCCTGGGGTACCGGTTATCAGTATGTTCGGCTTCTTCCTCCTTCCTTCTCCGCCTCCCGCCATCTCCGCCGCCGCTCTCTCGTCGGAATCAATCGGTTTAGTCTGTGGAGAGTTTTAGGTTTTTGGCTGCTGATGGCGGGGGATCATCACCTTCGCCTTCGTTTTACCAGGGTTTTCGGTTTCCCTGTTTGGGCCCTTTTCGGATCGGAGACTTTCAAACTTTCATGGGCTCTTCTTGAACAGGCCCAATTTGCTTTAATAATGTTTTCTCGAACTTGGCCCATTTAGCTGGCCTTATCGTCGCTCTGCCTAGGTGAGTTGACAATCCGTCACGGAGGCGCTAACTCTGCCTCGTTTGCTCTTGGTCGGCGGAAACTCTCCGGTGGCCGGCGATACGCAGCTCAGTCGCTTGTTTCCTCGCCCCAATCAATTCAGCTCTGTTCAATTTCTCCGATGATTTCAATCCGTATCCATTGGGTGAGACTTGTTTGCTCTCAGCTTCATTCAACGATCAACCACACCTCAAAACCCCTTCTCCCATGTCCCTCCAACCTCCCATGCTCCGAAGTCCCTTCAAGTCCCCAACTTTCCGGCGCCTTCTGCCGCTTTTACTCGAACAGGGCGCCGTCGAGGTCGCCGTCAAGGAGAGCCAGCCGGAAATTAAGAGCAAGCTTGAAGCCCGTTTTGGACGAAGCCAAATTCCAATCCGCAGTAGCAAAGCTTCCTCCTCGGTTTACCAATGAAGATCTGTTCAACGTATTGACCCTCGAGGAAGACACATTGGTTTGCTTGGAGCTTTTCAATTGGGCGTCTCAGCAGCCCAGGTTCAAGCACGATTGCTCCACTTACCATGCGGCGATTAAGAAGCTCGGCGTGGCCAAAATGTACCAGGAAATGGACGACATCGTCGCTCAGGTGCTTGCTGTCCCCACCATTGGTAACGAGGCTCTGTTCAATACGATTGTCTACTTTCTCGCTGAGGCTAGGAAGTTGACTAGAGCTGTGAATGTGTTCAAGCATATGAGGAATTCCAAGAATTCTGATTGCAAGCCATCGATTAGAACCTATAACATCCTTTTCACTGCAATGCTGAGTAGGGGAAGCAACTCTTATGTGAACCATATGTATATGGACACAATTAGAAGCCTGTTTAAGCTGCTGGTTAACGACGGGATCGAGCCAGATATCTATTCTTTGAACTCTATGATTAAAGGGTATGTTCTGTCACTTCATGTCAATGAAGCTCTGAGGATATTCCATCAGATGGGTGTGGTATACAACTGCTTGCCAAACTCATTTTCCTATGATTATCTTATTCATGGGTTGTGTGCTCAAGCTAGAACAATCAATGCTAGGGAGCTCTGCGATGAGATGAAGAAGAAAGGGTTTGTGCCAAGTGGCAAGTCATATAATTCCCTTGTGAATGCCTTGGCTCTTGAGGGGGAGGTTGATGAAGCAGTAAATTATCTGTGGGAGATGGCAAGGAACTATAGGTCTGCAGATTTTATTACATACAGGACATTGCTAGATGAGATCTGCAGAAGGGGGAAGATGGAAGATGCAATGGGATTGTTGAAAGAATTGGAGGAGAGAAAGCTTGTTGATGGGCTGACCTATAGGAAGCTTCTATCCGTGCTTGATGATGGCTTTGGAAACTCGGATGCTGGAGAACAATTCAGGTACGCAGCAGGAATTGACTTTCTTCCAAAGTGTTCTGCTATATCTTAACTTTCGACTGCTGTTATGTTCACAACTCTATACCCCTCAATGATCCATGTTGTCTTTCTCAATCCCAACCATATCATACTCTACATTCTTCCGAGGTGTTCTGCTGTTTTGATTTCCAACTGCTGTTATGTACGCAACACTATACCCCGTCAATGATCCATACTGTCTTTCTCAATGCCATAACCATTTCATGCTCTACATCTCATGTGTGTTCATCTCTGATGTATAGTGCAAGCATCTTCATGTGGTTTAAGCATTTGCAACTACAAAACCAAGTCTGTGCAAAAGTTAAAACGGTTTCACTTTTCTCTCTAAGTTTAACCGTGACTTTGGGCAACTTCATTTGTCCAAATCCAGCCCAAACCTTTGAGGTGAATCTGGAAAGATTCTACCACATTTCTACTGTCTCCACCATCTTCTCAGATGAAATTATGTTCAATGATTGATTCACCAATAGTTTTTTTTTGTAAGTGTTGTGTGTCCTTTTTTTTTTTTGACAAAAGATAATCATATTGATTGATGAGAGATAAGAGAACATTACATCCTGGAATTCAGCCAGGCCTGAAAATCAAAAAAACGACTCGTAGTCGGATACAGAGAGAGGGCCTTTCTAGCCACTAAATGGGCTACCCTATTGTTATCCCGACCTACAAATCGAATCGAAAACCCAGGATGAGAAGCAAAAAACAATATAACTTCTTCTAGCACAGCTCCCATCCGGCTATCTCTGGAATCTGCCTGGTTGATTTTGTCAATGACAAGTTTTGCATCTCCTTCAAAAATAACTTCCGTAACTCCATGCCCTATGCATCCCAGAATCGCCTCTCTCAGGGCCAGCAACTCCACCACTGCCGGGTCCCGCACATCCGGAAATTGGGTCCCTTGAACAAAGACGACCTCCATAGCCGAATTAAAAATTACATATCCACCAGCCGAATGCGCCCCACGACTTGTCGCCCCATCCCACCGACACACAGCCGAACCAACCGGCACAGCACTCGGAATCCAGGGATTGGGTATCGTGTGCCGAGGAACGGGTTCCCTAGGCAGGCAAACCCATTCCTCCACTTGTTGGTGAAATTGCCGCAGGAGCACTGGAATCCCAAACTGCTTACCTTCGAACACAACCCAATTTCGGGAACGCCAGATCCGCCAGAGGATAGCTACTACCGCCATGAGCATAGAAGGATCACGCACCCGATTCAACAAATTCTTTAGAAACAACGGGAACGTGTGCCTTGGCAACCCCTCCCCCAGGAAATCCAAACCCGCATACTCCCACAAAGCCCTCGCCACTGGGCAGTCTAAAAATAAGTGTTCTAATGTTTCTGATTCTGCCCAACAAACCGGGCATCGCGATAACACCGGAACCTCCTTTTCCAACAATGCCTCAGTTGTAGGGAGGATTCTGTGGCACACCTGCCAAACGAAGACTTTGAGTTTCGGCGGAATGTTGGCCTCCCAGATTTTTATCCAACTGGCTTTATCCATCCAACTGGCCAAAGACCGCCAGCGCCCTCGCTTCTGATCAAGATTAACCGCCAGGTGATAAGCTGACTTGACAGAGAACCTCCCATCCGGAGAGTAATGCCAAATGAGGCGGTCTGGTACACTCTGTCGTGGAAGGGGAATAGCTCTAATTGCTGCACAGGTAGCCGTATCAAACCACTGGCCTAACATATCCTCATTCCAACGCCCTTCACCCTGACAAAGGACCTCCGCAACCTTAGGATCACCTCCTGCCGGCATCACACAAGGGTTGGCAACAAGGGGCCAGGGGTGAAATTGGGGAACCCATTTGGACTCCAGCAGGGATGCCGACATCCCATCCCCAATCTGCCACCGAATCCCCTCCTCCAACAGTTGCCGACCATACAAGACACCCTGCCACCCCCAGGAAGGGCGCGACCGAGCGGTTGCCCCAAGAAAGGTTCCATTCGGATAGTACTTCCCTTTATAGACTTGGGCCAGGAGAGACTGAGGTTCAGTAAGAAGCTGCCAACCAATCTTGGCCAACAACGCTTGATTGAATTGCTCAAAGCGCCGAAACCCCATCCCCCCATCATGTTTACTTTTGCACATATTCCGCCAAGAGACCCATCTAATCCTTGACTGCCCCTCAACCGCCCCCCACCAGAATCGAGCCACATGTTTGTCCAGGAGCCGGCAAAGAGACAGGGGAAGCTTGAAACAAGACATAACATGTAAGGGAAGTGCTAAAGCTATAGACTTAATCAGAGTCTCCTTAGCTGCCCAAGACAATGTCCGCTGTTTCCAACCCTGAAGACGCTCCAACAGTTTTTCTTCCAAGTACCGGAAAGTATCCATTTTCGATCGGGAGAAGAGCGTTGGGAGGCCCAGGTACTTGTCGTGGACACCCACCGCACCCACCCCCAGAATCTGGGCCAAGAACTCTTGATCCGGCAATCGAACATTCTTACTGAAGCACACTGCGGATTTATCCAAATTAACCCTTTGCCCACTGAGTTCCTCATACTCATTCAGGACCTCAAGTAAATTCTCACATTCCTGGAGAGAGCCACGCAGGAATAGATACGAATCATCCGCAAAGAACAAGTGAGAGATTCTGGGAGCACGAGGAGCAACTTTAATGCCCTCAAGCTTTTTCTCCGTTATGGCCTTACGCAACAGCGCTGCAAACCCCTCTGTGCAAATAACAAACAGCAAAGGAGATAAAGGATCCCCTTGTCGCAATCCCCGGGAAGGGGAAAAGTAGCCCGAAGGGGTCCCATTCATCAGAACCGAGAACGAGGCTGATCGAAGGCATTCGTGGATCCATCCTTTCCAAACCGAACTGAACCCCATCTTGTCCAAAACTGCAAGAAGAAATGGCCATTCAACTCTATCATAGGCTTTTTCCATGTCAACCTTTAGAGCCATGTACCCTTTCTTACCTCGCGTTTTGATTTTCAAGTAGTGCATCAATTCATGTCCGAGGAGAACATTTTCTATTATCTGCCGCTCTCGAATAAAGGCGTTCTGCCCCTCAGAGATGACCTGAGGTAGAATAATAGCCAGACGCCCAGCCATAATTTTGGTAATAATTTTGTACACAAATTGGCAAAGGCTAATCGGACGCAACTGCCTCATTGATTCCACATTATCCACCTTAGGGATCAGAGTAAGCCAGGTATGATTAAAACTCCGGAGCATTTTACTCGTCACAAAGAAAGAAGTAACTGCCTCAATTACAGAATTCCCCACAATGTCCCAGTAGGCCTTAAAGAATTTCCCTGTGAACCCATCAGAGCCCGGGGCCTGTTTACTACCCATAGAGAAGACTGTGTCTCGAATTTCCTGAGGGAGGACTTCAGCAGTGAGGCTAGCATTCATTTCTGGCGTAACACAGCGAGAGATGGGCAGGGAGGCCACTCGATTCACAATGTTCGGCACAGAGTTTTCCGAGGTAAACAGGGTCTGGTAGAATGAATTGGCAATATCAGCCTTACCTTTTTCATTCGTGACCCATTCCCCTTCCTCATTATGCAGACCAGCCACAAAGTTACGCTTCCGCCGAGCTCTGGTGACCGTATGAAAATAGGCCGTATTCTTATCCCCTTTTTTCAACCAGTGAACTCGGGATTTCTGCTGCCAATAAACTTCCTCCGCCTCCCACTGTCTGTTTAACTCGGTTTCCAACCGCCGAACCTCATCCCAGTCAATTGGGTGGCTTAATTTAACCCGATCAATTTCAGTTTGGAGGGTGCGGATATTCCTTAGAGAATTAGTAGTGCCAGCCCTACTCCAATCATACAACAAATGTCGGAGTTTTTTCAGGCGCTCCCATAGACGAAACATCGGATTACCTTGGACCTCCTCCTGCCAGACATATTGTACCATAGCCCTTACCTCAGGATTGTCAGCCCAGCGGGCATCAAAACGAAACAAAGGTCGGCTATTCCGGGCATACGGTTTGTCGGACAGGAGAAGGGCTCGGTGGTCAGAGCCCTGATCAGTAAAATGCTTCACCAGGGTCTCAGGGAACTGGTCCACCCAATTCTGAGAGCATAAAGCCCTATCTAATCTGGCGCGGATGCACGCCGTGCCCATACGTTTATTTGTCCAAGTAAACTGGTCTCCCAGGAAACCAGGGTCATGCAGACCAAGTTCTTGAACAAACTCACGAAGGCTTAAGGCGTGAGCCGCATTCCACGGAAGCCCACCATCTTTTTCACCCGCATTAAGAGTAACATTAAAATCCCCCATGATTGCATAGGGTAGCTGAATATTCGCACAGATGTCAAGCAGATGGTCCAATTGGGATGAACGAATCGCTCCAATACAACTCATATAGACCAAGATCACCACATACGAGAAATCATTTTCATTAATACGAACACCGATACAGAACTCTGAATGGAAAAAAACCGAGGCATCAATCCCCGGGGACCAAGCAACAACTAAACCTCCCGATGCATCAATTGCATCCACAAAAAAACAACAAGAAGAATCAAATCCTAAGCCACGCATACGACGGGCAACTACTTTCCGGCTCGATCGAGTTTCCGAAAAAAACACGAGATCCGGTTTATTAGAATGAATTAAACCAACAGCAGTTTGAAATGTGAGGGATGGCCCAATTCCTCTCACATTCCAGGCAAGAAGCCTCATTTATCCAGGTGGGGCCAATCCCGGCTGGCTACCTCCACCGTTTCCAGATCATCTTTGTCTTCCACGAACAATTTTTTTGGCGATGGGGATTCTGCAATATCTCCATCAACCTCAGTAATCCTGCGCTTCTTTGTCCCCTCCTCTTGGTCCCCAAAGTTGGACCCGTATTCATTCAAATTTTGCTCAACAAGTGGCTCCACTACTGGCCTTCCCATCTCTTCCTCTATGGTATCCAGATTGGGTGTGTTATGCAACTCTGGCTCCGTAGCTGGGCCACTCTTGGGGAGCCCAAGCTCAAAGGCCTCCACAATCTGCCGCACCCGAGACGAGGAAGCTAGCCGCTTGTTGTTCACCTTCCCCTTCACTTCCCGCCTACGTATCTCAAAGGGTTGGTCTTGGGCATCCTCTCCTGAAGTGGACCCTTCCGAAATTCCCCCCTTTTGGATCACCTCGGCAGGAATGTGGGCCAAAGGCTCCACCATAGCTGGGGAATTCTCCACCGATTCCGCAATCCGCATGGGCCCATTCTCCTCCATCCCTTCGGCCCGTTTCGGCCCACCAGCCCCCGGTCCCCCAGCCCGTCCCAGGCCAGGCCTGCTTCTGGGCTTTGGGGAAGCACCACGCCGGCTCTTGCGTGTCGCCAGGTCCGAGATTTTCCCCTTCCTCGCGGCTTTCAATGGAATAACTTCACCCTTCCCCTTCCCCTTACCGATCCTTTTCTTATTGGATCCATTTTTTGGCACAGGGGAGGGAGCGCCGCCGTCCTGCGTGGCCCTATCCACAGTCTTGGCAGCCCAAATGGCTGCATTCAAAGGGCAAGTCATCGAGGGGCTCGGAATTTCCTGGATACGGAACTCATCCTCCGATTCAGCTTGCAGAATTAGGCGGCGTCGCCGCGTTGCCTGCGGATCGCTTTCCGGGTTCGAGACTTCCATAGGAACAGCGTCGGATGCCTTTCTCAGCTTGCCTCTCCGACCTTGTCTCCCAAGACGGATCTTGGGAGATTTCATGATCGGAATGCGCATCGGGCTTCTTTCCACTTGACTGCGCTCCTTCGTCTTCCTATGGCTGCGTGCCTCAGTCGTCAAGAAAGGCTGGGTGGAGGTGCCCATCCACAGCGGCCTCTCCGCCACCACGGGCTTCGTTACAGGGTCAGCTTCCCCCCTGTTCGTCTCCTTTGTTGGTCGCGGCAGCCCAGTTGTAGCAGCCCGGCGGTCTGGAGCCGCCGTATTGACCCAAACAGACTTGGGGTTGCCATTGAAGGCAGTCACTCGCTCCTCCTCTTCAAAAATCCTCCTCCCCAATTTCTTGGTCGCCATATGATGGCCAAACCTCTCCCGACGAGTGGGAGGATCGAAGGAACACTCTTGGCGAAGGTGCCCAACTCTGCCGCACCTATAACAAAAACTAGGGAGATGCTCGTACTTCAGTCGAATCCAGAATTCTCCTGTTTCGGCATTTGACGCCATAACTTGGGAACGAAGGGGCTTGGAGAAATCTATCAGCGCCTTGATTTTGATAAATGTGTCCTTTAGATGAATGTTTATAGATCATTCTATACTTGCCTTATTGCCAAGTGAAGAATAGAATGTTGATCATTCCATTTTTATCATTGGTGCAGCCGAGTTGATGCCTGGAGATGATTTTTGTGCATCCTTTTTTTATGGATGGAATTGGTGGTGATAAACTACCTAGCATTGATATGATAGTTCCTTGATACGAAATTTGGAGAAGGGAATTCCGGGCATATGCTAAGTGCAATCACTTCAGCAAGAGATTCAACAACCAAAAAGCAACTTCATATTTGGCAAACTGTTCCATTCAGGGGTTCGAATCATATCGATCCAATCATCTGCTCCAAATGCTGCACCAGATTCCTCCACTAACATATCATCTTCCTCCACTAAGGACCCTCGTATGAAGACACAAAGTCGTCAGAAGAGAGCTCTCTTCATTGCTGTTCATACTTCCGGACACTTCCAGTTATTACCATGGGCAATGTTGGCACCTTCACGTCTCTACTGAGAAGAAGAGGAAATCGCGAGCAATTGGACAAGAGTAGAGGTTGTATGGACGACTGGTACCTCCTACAGCCCTGCAGGACTCGAAGTTAGGGGTTGTTTCGAAGAACTGAAGGTTTTCGATTGAGCAAGGTTAGGAATCGATTTTTCAGGTTCACTAGGGTAAGGGGATATTCCGATCCTCTATAGTTATCTGCTGGTGGCAAGGCCACTCATGATGGCCATATGTATCAGATTGCACTCTGGTTGTCCCCTCTACTGGGTGGAGTAAGATAATTATATTATACGCGCCATTGATCCATTGCTTCTTGATTGATCCATTTTATACCAGATAGATTTCACCAAATGCATCCAATGAAAGACCAAAGACAGAACCCACATTCATTGAGTTGAGGGTCCTGTCAAGTATCAACAATGAAACAGAGTTCATTATCGATCCACCTATTTCTCGTACTCTTTTTTGCGTTTCCGAAAGCAAGCATGACAGCGAGACGACATATTGAAGACTCATTGTAGATGTGACCATCTGCCTGTAGGTGTTGCCAAGCGGAGTTCTGGACAACGTCCCTGTCCTATGCAGAATCATAATTCTTAAGGAAGTACTGGCACCCGACATAAGCAACCTAAAAGCTTAAACAACCACATTAAGCAGAAAATATTCCACTGTTCAATAACACATGAAAAAACAAAACTTTTGAGCCACTCTAATGAAGAAAGAGCACCTCGACACAAGGAACAGTAAATGAAACCTACAAACCACTTGCTCAAACACAGTACTCAAATTCTAAGATAGTATGCCCCGTAACCACCGCCACCGTCTATCAAGCACCCAATTCTGAGAAAGGGCACCCAATGACCAAATCCAAAAGCTTGGCGAAGGCATTCCAAAATCTAACAGAGAGAACAACAGAGCGTTCCAACGACAACAAAAACGATTATTAATAAGATGCTTCAACTCGGGACAAAAACATCCATCCTGCACGGTTCACTTCTTCTTGGCAGCAGCCTTGGTGACCTTGGCACCAGTAGGATCCTTCTTCTCCACGGCCTTGATGACACCCACAGCAACGGTCTGCCTCATGTCCCTCACGGCGAACCTACCCAGAGGTGGGTACTCGGAGAAAGTCTCCACCACCATGGGCTTGGTCGGAATCATCTTCACGAACCCAGCATCACCATTCTTCAAGAACTTAGGCTCCTTCTCGAGCTCCTTTCCAGATCGCCTGTCGATCTTGGTCATGATCTCAGAGAACTTCACAGCAATGTGGGAGGTGTGGCAGTCAAGCACTGGGGCATAGCCATTTCCAATCTGGCCAGGGTGGTTCATGATGATGACCTGGGATGTGAAGTTGGCAGCCTCCTTGGCAGGGTCATCCTTGGAGTTGGAGGCAACGAACCCACGCTTGAGATCCTTGACAGCAACATTCTTCACGTTGAACCCAACGTTGTCACCAGGGAGAGCCTCCTGGAGAGCTTCATGGTGCATCTCAACAGACTTGACCTCAGTCGTCAGCCCGGTGGGACCAAAGGTAACAACCATACCGGGCTTGATGACACCGGTCTCAACACGACCCACTGGCACAGTTCCAATACCACCGATCTTGTACACATCCTGAAGTGGGAGACGGAGTGGCTTGTCTGATGGCCTCTTGGGCTCGTTGATGTTGTCAAGAGCATCAAGAAGGGTTGGGCCCTTGTACCAGTCAAGGTTGGTCGACCTCTCAATCATGTTGTCTCCCTCGAACCCAGAGATGGGAACAAATGGAACCTTGTCTGGGTTGTACCCAACCTTCTTCAAGTAGGATGAAACTTCCTTCACGATTTCATCATACCTAGCCTTCGAGTACTTGGGAGTGGTGGCATCCATCTGCAGTACACATCAATAAGAAAATCAGTACCAGTACAACTAAGTAGCACCAATAATACATAGTTAACAAGAGCAGCAAGAAAAGACTCGCTGACCTTGTTGCAGCAGCAGATCATCTGCTTGACACCAAGGGTGAAAGCAAGGAGAGCATGCTCACGGGTCTGGCCATCCTTGGAGATACCAGCCTCAAAACCACCAGTGGTAGAGTCAATGATAAGAACAGCACAATCAGCCTGGGAGGTACCAGTAATCATGTTCTTGATGAAATCACGATGTCCAGGGGCATCAATGACAGTGCAGTAGTACTTGGTGGTCTCAAACTTCCACAAGGCAATATCAATGGTGATACCACGCTCACGCTCAGCCTTGAGCTTGTCAAGCACCCATGCGTACTTGAATGACCTCTTGTTCATCTCAGCAGCTTCCTTCTCGAACCTCTCGATCACACGCTTGTCGATACCTCCAAGCTTGTAGATCAAGTGGCCGGTGGTGGTTGACTTCCCAGAGTCGACATGGCCAATGACCACAATATTGATATGAACTTTTTCCTTGCCCATCTTGAGATAAAAACTGCAATACATGAACAAATTCAACATCAGTATAAAAAGTCAATCTACATCCTATAACATCAGACCAATGAAAACATAAACTGATGATTAATCACACAAACCATCAGAATGATGTATAACGAAAATTCAATCGAGAAACTCTATTACATCCATAACACCACCAGAATAGACCACTATCACAACAAGTAGCCGTTCCTATGATGCTAACCCTACAGACTTTAGGCATTGACTTCTCCATGACAGAATTGAACTGATCCATTATTAAACAGATGTAGTGATGCTCAGGCATACAATTACCAATGACAAAGATGAACGTATCAATGCTCCATAAGCATCAACGACAGAAACTTCCAACGAAAATCAGATTCATGGAGCAGACGGACATAGCTAGATAAAACACGAAACTGAGACTACGAGCGTAAGAAAGTTGCCTTGACTTTAGCTAACAGCAAACTATACGATTGGAAACACATACAATGGCTATCGCTCAATCATACATGGAATTGATACTACATCGCACGAACAGCAACGTCGAGAATAGATCTGCAATGCGTAGCGAAGGAAACCAGGATGTACGGAACTTACCAAAGGAACGAAGAAGAAGAGCCTCTCCTTCTGTCGCCGGCGGTGACGAATTGACGAGCAAAGAGCGATTTGTGGTGCAGCTGCGAGAAAACAGAGATGAGAGAAACGCGCAGATTATAAAGAGTAGGAGAGGGGAGAAGTCTCACAGCGTGGTTAGGGTTTATCACCATCCGTTGGATTTTTAGGGGGAGGTATCCAACGGATGAGAAATTACATAGGTTTCAGTGTGCAGGTCGGTTGACGTTGCAAATGTCGCCTGCCCTAGGCCGTCGTAGGGATTGGTGGGTCAGCCGGCCGGCCGGCCAGAGGATTCTTTTTGTACTTAGCCAGTTTTGCCGAATAAAATACCAAGTAAGTCCCTGAAATTTAGATTACTTTTCCATTTGAACCCTAGAGTTCATATGTATTTATTCATAGCCTTAAACTTGCATGTATGGAATTTTGTACTTGAGCTCAATGCATCTATTACTGGAATCCATGTTTCTTCCATAAAACAATCAAACAAATAGAGAAGGGAAAATCCATGTTTCTTCCATAAAACGATCAAGCAAATAGTGAAGGGGCTTATTGGTTCCATAAACAATCATATTTGTTGGCAATGGAGCATTGTCTACTTCACACAAGATTACAACTATGGAATTTGTTACAACAGCTACATAAACAGAGAGCGATGTGGCTCCAACCCAATCAGTATTGAATTCTGCATTCTCTGAACTCATACATAAGAACTAAAGTGACTGAATTCATCTTATGTTCATCTAGCGCTGTGGCTTCACTCCAATCAGAGTATTGAATTCTGCATTCTATAATCTGATACATAAGAACTAAAGTTACTGAATTCATCTAATGTTCATCTAGCTAGGATCACCGTTTATAGTGTCATTATTACTATTCTTTTGGGGACTTGTTGCTACAACAGCAGACATAGGATTCGTGGGGCAAGCAGAAGCGAACTGACAAAACCGACACTTCCAACGCTCATCCTCTGGTGCGTATCTAGATTCTCGCTCATTGAACCAGAACTCAAGGGATGCCTGGATTTGACTCTTGACCCAGTCAAGGTCATATGTGAATAAATCTTCAGACAGTAGTGAGTTGTCCTTCTGCAACTCATACCTGTTGAGTTCAACAGCAGCATGCCAAGGTAAACAACAGGAACAACTTCAACCACAGTAAAAAAAAGTCTTGGTAGTCCACTGACCTTAGTAACATTTGGTTATGTGCTGGGAGGAAAAGACAGCTGGTATTTATGAAGAATCTCAGAATGTCATCCAGGGTCTGAGGATAGCAGTACAAGGCATAGGATAAAGTATTGTTAGAATTTTGCTCCCCTAATTGAAAGCAATATATGACAATTGAAATTCCCTAGCCTTGAAAAATGCACAATTCAATGAGCTGATATTGACTCTTGAGGGAATGGACATTTTACCTTAGCCGGGATACCCGCTTGTTTAGCATTCTCCCTAATCTCTTCGGACAAAATGGCATTACGGTTCAAAGAAAAGAAGTCATAGAACTTCTGGGTGGGGAAGTTACCAGCAACCAATGTGTCCCATATATACTTGTAGCACATCAGCTGTAATCTGCAGAAACAGTAAAAAGCTCATATCACCAACATATATGGTTTGTTCACCCCATCTGGGCATCAACCTTCTCAACCATATATCTCGAGAGCAAAATGTAATGCCAAAACATGGGATGGTTAAAACATGTGTTGAGGAAGGATAGAGAAACAAAGGTAATTACATACCTTCCGTTCCTACTTTGAGGTTCAGCAGGAAGAGTGTCACGCACTCGAGTTTTTGTGTCAACTAACATGAAGTTCCTATCACTGTCACCTTCAGGCATCCTGATCTCATCAATCTTTCCCACCATCCATACACCTTCAACAAAGCCTATTCTGCCATGAAAAGCAGAATGGAACATCAGCACCATTTCTAAGTTAATTCAGCATGTCTCTTCATTGAAATATCTTATAACAGCGCTTCAAGCAGTTCCACTTCTCTTTGGTTCCTTCAGTCATGAGATCAGCTCGATGCAGTCCAACCATGATAAAACTGAGGCAAGTCAAGAAACTGTTGTTCAAAGAAAAATGGAACTTACATGGGAAGCTCCCGAGTGAGACCTTCGAACAACAATTGGTTGACACCGGCTATGAAATTCAGAAACTTTAAAGCCCATGCATCTTCAGCTGATTCCACAGAAACTGCAACTTTCGTAATAACCTGGCCCAAGGTTCATGTGGGAATATCAGAATGTTCCCAGCTATGACAATCAGGAGAAACCCTCACGGACACCAAATTTTACAGGAATTGGATAATTAGCAGCTTAACATGATCAAATGAAGCATCAAATGGAAGTATAGGACAGACAGATATGCTTTTACGGTTTTACCTCTTCTTCCAGCTTCAAATGACGAGCACTACCTGCTTTCATTGCTTTAGTGGCTCTTCTTTTACCAACGCAAAGGACAAACTCCATTTGCTTCTCGCACCACTCCTGCGTTTGAACCCCCAAAGGAGAAACCCAACTCAATTCAATCAAACCCGTCAATCAATTGCTTAAATTATCATCTAATTCGCCGAAAGGGAGGATTTTGTTTATGGGTTCTCTTTCTCGGGTAGTCATTCAAACAAATGCAAGGCAGGAAAGAAAAGGATTGTTAATCGTTACCGTAGCGGTAATATCGGTGACAGACAATCCCCGGGCCTTCCGAAACCTGATAAACAAGGATTTCTCGTCTCGAGTCTTCTTGTGGGTAGGAGATTTTCCGGCGGAATCCTCGATATCGGCCACGACGGCGGGAAGCCTTCGCTTAGAGAGGGAGGTAATGGAACCGATGGATTTGGCCTTGCTGGGGAAGGAAGAGGAAGTAGAACAAGAAGTACCAGCAGCCACAGAAGGAAGAGAAATGGAACGGGCCGCAGCAAGGGCTGCTTCGAAGAAGCCCATTTCTTCTTCGGAAACGATCTCGATTGGGATTTCGGAGACGCAGCGAATTAGGATGGTATCAGAAGGAGTGGATGATGGGGAGACAGTAGTATTGCGATGGGGGTCGTCAGTGGATGAGTGGGTGGCCGTCGTTTTCGTCAGGGGATTCACCGGCGGAGAAGTGACCGTTAGGCTCCCTGATTCGGACGAGGGAGTCATTTGCTGGGGGGGTTTTTCGCGTTGAGGAGGGAGAGAAGGAGAAGCTCTGCTTTTTCAAGTTCTCCTTGCATTGCAAGTTTTAAAACTTCCAAAAAGAGGCAGCAACGAGAATTTGAGGGTTATTCACCATTCAGCGCTTAGGCTTTACCTCACTTACAATTAAGCTCCTCAGCTTTGAATTTTGACTAATTCATCCTTATGCAAAATGAAGTTCGACGAAGTTTGAAAGTGTGACGACTCTTCGTTGTGGCAAATGTTGGACCGATAACTTCAGAGTCAGCAATTAACGAGAGTAACAATGCCTTAGTTTTGAGAGACTGCAAACTTACTTGTTCTCATTTCATCTTCAGTGGATCTTATGGTGGAAACACCCCCACCGATATGCAAATGAAGACAAGCTTGCTTCTTGAGCAAGTACAGTTCGAGAAGTCAGTAGGGTCCATGTGTTCTTGAAATGTTGGATTCTCGACGATGTAAATGGTAGACTGGTTGTACAATATAGTGTAGCTGGTTGGGGATAAGGAATCTAGATGTCTTTGGGTCGAGATAGAAGTCACTAGACCTCACAATTTGTGTATGCAAGGATTCGATACTCTGCCTCGCAAGAAGATCGAGAAATGGTGGTTTTCCTTTTGCATTGCTATAAGACAAGTGTAGTTCTAAGATAGACACAATACCTAGTAACGATGTGATGTGTGTCGATACAGGAAACCTAATATGAGTAACTAAAGGCCTTTAAGTGAAGAGGAGTAGTGGAAGAAAAGAACATGCCAATAGATAGTATTGACTTCGGGTATCTCAAAATTCGAGCAACATCCTTAGAATGTGTTTGAGTATGATTAGACACTATATGGCTTACTGACTCGTCCCGAATATCACAATAAAACTCTCAATTAATACCCAAGTATAAACCTCAATTAGGTGCAATATAGGGCAGGTATGTTTAAATGTCAACCTGGGTCGGTCCATGTACCCCTACTTCGATTGTTTGTAACATTATCTAGCGATTGGTTTTTGGTGACAACGACGATCTATAGTTAAAGTTTGGAAAAGTAAATGGATTTGACACTAATTGAGAAGGCTTCACCCGGGTGTTGCTCCCCTAGCTAGCAATTATGACTTGTCGGATCGAATGGACACGTGTGGTAAGGAGGTTGTAAACCGTAGGGAAATGCAACAAGTGGAAAAACACCATTGTCTCTGTCTCTAGGTCAAGGGAATTCGATTCAAGCCACCAAAGTAGCTCTCTTGACCTATTGACTAAGGGTTGCCAAGACTTCACCCTCGAATCAGAGTTCGGACGACCAAATTACAACCAACCCCCCTAGGTGCTAATACGAACAAAGAGGGTTGCCCTACATTAACCTAGGAAACCCAGCTTTACAAGCCTCTTTCAAAGAAAGGGGTTTTCTTTCTACCTAGGTTAGAATGACAAATAGATTAATAGGCAAACACACAACACAATCTTCCATGAAAATACCTCCAAATTCATATTAAAATACATCCACACATAAATTATTCAATCCATACAAACATTCACATAATTGTAGCTAGGGTTTACAAACACCCAAGTGAAATAAGGGACTACTCCATGCTAAGAGAAGGGAAAACACAAGAGAGAATAAGGAAAACCATCATGGAGATGCTAGCCTTGCTCCTTGTGTTGAAGAGATCCTCCTTTGGGGAAGGAATTCCCAAAACCTTGCTTGAAGATGAGACCCTAGCTTCTTCTCTTCTTTGGTTCGCACTTTCTCACTGTAGAAGAAGAAGAAGAAGAAGTTTCTCACACTAGGTCTCTTTCCTTTTCTCCTTCAGCTCAAACCCCCTATTTATACCCAGGTCAGGCTCACATCACTGTCCCAGTTCATGGCCATGAACTCAAGGCGTGGACCATGATCTCAGGCCAAAACGCATCGTCTCAATAATCTAGTTCACGGTCTGGCTTGGGTTCACGGTCTTACGATCGTTAACTGGCTTGAGTCCAGTGAAAGCAAAAATGTCCCTGGATGTATGGCTGATCACAGCTTGCGGCTCCAGTTCACGGTCGCCCTGACCGTGAACTAACGACTTCCATCGTGATCTGCTACTGCCTTCATCCTTTGACCCGATTTTTTGCCTTTTCGTCCAACTTTCGACTCCAGGGTTGGTTCCACATGCTATTGAGTGAAATGCACAAAATTGAGACAAAACCCAGCGTAAAACCATACCTCCCAGATTAAAAATGCCTCAAACGACTAAGGAAACCAGAGATAAAAGGTGTACAATTAAGCCTGAATCACTCCCCAACACTTAGACGTTTGTTTGTCCCCAAGCAAACCATTTTCAACCAAGGTGATTTCTCAACCTAACAAAATAACTTGGGGACAAATCAAAAGGCACAAAGTGGTGTATCTCAATGGCTATTGGGCATCAACATATGAACTGCCTAAAGCAATACCGGCATCCAACACAAACGACATTTGAATGCATCAAGAATGGGCAAATGAAAAGTTCTCTTCTCACCCTGTTCACAAATCAATGCAAGTCTTGACCGGACTACTCACCAACCACAACTAACCATGCATAGAACTCAATTCCAAGGAACAAACAAAAAGGCGACAAAGGTCCTTACCGGGGTAGGATATGCAAATGCAAAACAAGAATGAATCACTTACTCTCGTCCAATGGGGTCAAGACCTTTTTGGTGCAAAAGATGTGCACAACCATCAACACTCAGCCCTATCGTCTCTCTACCATGGCGGCAACTTCTAAATGCTAGAGTTCACGAGGTGGTTGTCATCACTAACTTGTCCGGAGGTCTTAGACACAGGTTCAAATGACTGACAAGGGTATTGGACATGGGGAAAAGGTCTTTGGGGTGGTGGCAAGCAAAGCATGAGGTTCTACATCTTCAACCTAAAACCAAAGGTTCTATGGTTTCGACTAAGAACCTTTCCTACAATCAACAGCCACTAGCATCGGCCAAAATCAACAGTTCTCTTCTTCCAAACCACTATCAATCACGAACTTCATTCAATCACACTCCTCGATCTCTTCTTGCTATTCACATTTCAACCCTAGTAGTGAAGGAGGTTATCAAACAATTTAGGTGTTTCAATGTCTTCAGTGCCAAGAAACCCTTCTTGGAGCATACGCTAAGAGTTTTGTGGCCACTCTCTACTTTTATTTACCCCGTTTTATTACCTCTTTTTCGTTTCTTTTCTTCCTTTTGCTCTTTTTTTCTTCTTTTCCGTCGGGGGGGGGGGGGGAGGGAGGTACTAGAGAGTACAACACATGTTACTTATCCTTAAACGAACAATGCTCTCCATAAAGAACTTTCCTCAAACACTACCTTATCATTCCTAGCAAGAACCGTGCAAGACCACCTATGTAGTACCTCAATGGAGTTTACAAGCGAGTACTCCGAGACACAAGGATGACTCACACTTTGACACGAAGAAAGGATGAGGGTTCATTCTTTCAATCACCATTAAGCTCAACAAGCACAACGCTCCTAACATTAGAACGACCCCCAAAGTCACACAACTCAAAGGGGTTGACTAAGGGATAAATTTTTTTGGGATAATCAACTTTTGGGCGTGGACTAATCCTATGCCTCCATCATACTCACTAGTGACAATGGTGAATGTTACACACCATGGCGAGCGCGATATATCACACATGAAAAATACGATCGGCACAAATCTCACATGGCTACCTAGCCACCCAATCATCTATTCCAAATCAAAAATTTCAATACATGGCAATTGTAATCAAGGAGTAACTAAGTCAAGACATCCATTCATTTAAGCACACATGAGAACTAAGCTTTTGCACAAACCTAATGCACTCTCAGTCATCATAATAGGATGCACTCGATCACATGCAACAATTCAAGATCAATGCCAAATAAGCATGAGATTCACCCACCAACCGGCCATTAGATCATGCATTGCTTGGAGCCCTCAAATTTTTCAAATTTGGGCATACATCAAGGCTCCAAGCATTCAATCCAAACACACAAGCATAATAATAAACTACCCCCCACACTTAAGCTCGACATTGCCCTCAATTGCATAAAATAGAGGGCAGAATGATGTTACCGCATGACTTGGTGAATGAAAGTTGGAGAATTTCCCGAGGTAGGATGTTTGAGCTTCAAAGGGAAAACAAAACACAAACACACGCACATTCTCACTCGAGGCAAGGTTATTACACATAACAAAGTTTCACATCACGATTCAAAGGAAAGAAAAACTCACAAATTACTAGTTCACACACTAAAGAAAGAGAAAATAAAAATAAACTGAGTTCAGAGTTTCGAGTGGAGAAGTGGGGCGAAAGAAATTGGCTCTACCACATGTCTCACTCGTCGGCTACCTCGTCGTGGGTCCAAGGTCACTCGTCGTCCAAAAGGACACCCTGGCATCGAGCAATCCTCTTTGGAGGTTGGTGGATCGGTCGAGCCGAGTGGTAACTCCCACAAACTGCTCCTCGATGCGATCCACTCGCTGCTCGAGGTGGGACCCGGAGGAGTAAGGTCCAGCTCCGGATGATGATGTTGCTGATGGTGGTGGTGCAGTGCGTCGGTGAAGGCCAGGAGCTCTGGTGGGTGGCAGCTCTGGAGGAGGAACCTCTGTATCAAGCTCCACTGGAGTAGGGGTCTACCTGTGGCCTTAGAGCGGCCGAAGGTCGGAGTCCCTCGAGGAACTCAATTCCTCTCTCTCCCTAGAGCACCAGCTTCATGTTGTAGAGAGTCTCCACCGGGAATGGCTCAGTCTGGCCAATGATGGAGCACCTCGTCACATCAACCTCAAAGTGGTGGTATATCCTCGTGATGATGCCCCCCAGATGCATCGTATCAACTCGATCCCGCCCCTGGCATCTGGCAAAGGTGGTGGAAACCACTGATCCCAGATGGAGTGGCTCTGCTGAGCGATTAAGGGTATGGAGGGCTATCAACCCTCTGTTCGTGATCATGTGGCCTGACATCAGGCTGGGATAATGGACTTCGTCAGAAGTGTGTGCAGGATCCTCCATGG